GTGCGTATTATGGAAATTTCACTCCGAAAATAATATTTTGTATTACTTCCGATGCAATAGAGAATAGAATGGCTTGGCACTCAACTACTGTTTGACTTTTGTTTATCAATGTTTATCTTTTGAGTGCTTATGTAGAGTACACACACATTTATGAACCGTGTTTATCGAAATATTTGGGTGTGAGTAGATTTAGCTAAACTTCAAGGTACAAGGTATATATGTGATACCAAATTTATATTATTGTATTTTGTTCTATGTATTTTGATGTGTAACAAGCCTTTATTTTACTGCGACAGTGTATTTAGAAGAACACGTTTGTAATTGTAAGTGAAAATATTGTTTTTTTTTTTTTGGCGTTTTTGTAATCATACCTGGATATCATAAGGTGTTTTCGGCTTTACGTATATATTACTTGAAGTTTAGGTAAATAAAGTTTAACCATACAGATATCTGTTTAAAAGTTTCAGTGTCAATTATTGATCACATTGACCTACTAACTAATCAATGATTTGGTCAATCCTGATAGGTCAACGGTGCCAATCTATAAATCGACTCCTACGTAATCTATCGTAGGCCATAAAAATAGGTACATTTTTTTTTCATAAATAACTCTTATTATACTTAGCAGTAAAAACAATTCCATTGCAATACCTCGAAGCTCATGTGTAATGCTCATTTTAGTCCTTTCAATACATTACGTTCTCTAGTAACGTTGTAGATTTGGGCTTACGACTCTTTACGTAGGAGGGATAGAAATAATAGTTTACTCCAGTGCCAAGAAATAACAAACTCGAATGCAGGTTATTCTTAGTTAATCCGTGACTTCTAAAGACGACATTTCGACGCTTAAATGCTAAACGGCCGCATGTCAAAAGTCACTTTTTTACAGGAGTGGCGATCAGAGTTTTCGACCTCCTTTTTTAACATTTTAATATTGTTTTATTTTTAAATACCCATATATTTATACTCAAAAGATGCGTATTTTAAGGCTCTATAAATTTGTAAACACAGACACAACTCAACATAAAGACTGTTTAGCTTGAAAGTTAGCCACGAAAGTGCAGAATCCCGAACAGGCATTTGCGTCATTTTAAAGTAAAGCATTTAAGCGATAATTTGTAAAATTAAGCAACTCAAAATGTATTACTTAAAGTAAAAATTAATTCCTTTAAAAACTACAAAGACCTGCCATTTTTTGTCGAGTGTGTGGTAATTTAATTGGGTATTATTATTATTTATTTATTGAGCATTGACTATAGGGCCATCAGCCATCAAACAGGTAACAAATAGTTATGAAACGCAAAACATATTAATGCTCAAAGTTAAAATTTAATTTATGTGAAAACTGTTACTACAAAATCCGCCATTTTTTTTTGGTCATCTAAACAAATGATGATGACTTTTTAATTTCACACGTTAAACAAACATGAAAAATAGAAAAGAAGAAGAATTATGCAATATAATATAGCATTGTCTCTGTCTAAAAATTCGTACTATTTCCTCAACCGGAAACTTATGAATTACCATCAACCAATAGGCCGTTAACAATGCAAAAAATTGTTGTTTGCGTTAAAAACTGTTTACATTTCCAGCTCAGGTTTGTACGAGTATGGGAAATAGGTAAAATTTTATTTTTCGCCGTAGAACAAAAACTGCACATTGAGTGACAGGTATTAAGATCAAGAGTTTTCGTTATTTCAAAAATACCCTATAGACAATAATCCTGCAACTTGAGTCGCCGGTATACAACAAAATTCCTACTATGTAGGTTTTGGGCCCAGAAAAACGCGTGAGGCACCATTCTAATTACCTATAAACATAATTAACTTTTTAATGAAACTAAACAAAAATGCGTAGTCTCCATTAAAAACCAATTAGATTGTACATTCGTTAATGCGAATTACTGAGCTTATAACAGAGTATACTCAAATAAGTGACTTGACGTCACGTATCCAACAGGTCAGCCAAAAGGTTGTATAAAAGAGTTGTGTAAAAGATGTATTTCAAACTTAATTATGGATTTAGTAGATTAGAGAATGTTGTACATTTTACGGCTTCAGCACACAGACGTGTTGTTTTTTATGAATTATTGGTTAGTTTCATATACGAATATTGCATTGCAGTTTATTATATGATACTGGTAACAAACAGTTTCTGCATAAAAGAAAAACTTTCGAAAATTCATAAATTTATCTATCAACGTATACAAAGCCATAATATGTAAAGTGCTCACAATATTGCAGGGCTATATTATAATAAATTCACCAAAACTTTAAAATTTTTGTACTATTTGACGCATTTTACACCTGTATTTAATAATATTAATATAACACAGATGGTATTTGACAGTAAGTTCAAACATACAATCGTCCTCCCCGAGAACCCCTACTCCTGCTCCTGCGTTTTGCATCGGACTGGTATTTATTTACGCTACCGCTTTAATTGGGACTTTTATCCCATTTGTTACCATTGGCAACTACTGGGATTTTTTAAATTCCATTTGTCACCATTTGCAACAACTAAGGTTTTTTATCCAATTTGTCACCACTAACATTTGGATTGTTCACAATTTCTCGCCAAATTTTGATAAATTTATTAAAAGTCATGGAACAAAAGTTGTTGTTTATGATATTAGTAATTCAGCCCTGTGAGGTTGTTAGTATGTTACAAATAACTCTGTATATAAAAATGTATTTAGGATTTTCTCTGATCTACTGAACTTTGTAGCATAAGTTTTAGATAGCGATTGTTTTCGTACGTAAATTCAATGCAAATCCTAAGGGTGAATGACCATGTCGCTATTAAGTAGTTGCTGTCCAAAAATGTTATAAGTAGTAATTAATAATCAACCACGTCGTCGAACTCTTGTCCATTCTTAGAAATAAATAGGAAGTATAATATTAAATGGCACCGAGTGCAGGATTCATGACAATACCTACAGAAATTAAACTTGCTAAGTCCGAATGCAACAAAAGTAGACTGGACTTATTTTCCTAACCAATCTGCAACGAATATGTACTTCTATAAATACTGACTATGCATCTTGTACCCCAATAAGAAAACATATTTTAACATTTTGGTAAACAATTTATATTTTATACAAAAGTAAGATTTTATTTATATTTTGATAGGATGTTATTAAAACCAATTTTTGTACTTTCATTTTATTTTTTTATTTCTATACGTTGTTTGTGGTTTTGTTCTTTTTAATTTTAGGTTTAAGTAAAGTTACACTTTTGGGAACTAAAATTATTCCAAAGTGATGCTCTGTCAGTCGAACTACTGGTAGATCATTGTTTTAGTTTATGTTGAAACAGGAAAATTACATATAAAAACTGGACTTAAAAGACCAGTGTAAAGATGGCATTTGCTTTAGGATCGTCAAAGAAACTAATATAGAGTGCATAATTGTTGACTCGATAGAAATGCTGGCTTAAGGTCAGTTTCAAATTAGACGCTTATATGTAGAAGCGCTGCAGTGACATTTTCAGACAATATTTAGAAGCGCAATTGCAGCGCCACCGTCGTGACAGACGCGCGCCACTTTTGCAGTCACAATTAGTGAACTAAAAATTACTAAAGCGCTACTGATGCGCAGCTGCTGCATCACAGTCGCGCCACTGCCGCGTCAATTCAGTTTCTACAATTCTACAAGTGTCTAATTTGAAGACGGGCGTCTTCAAATTAAATTAGAAGCTTATCGCGAAAAGCCAAAAAAATCCAAAAGAAAATAATAATGTCGAAATAGTTTACTCGAAAGTGTATGCGACAGAATTAAGACTATGGTTTTATATTTCTCTTAAAGACAGAAATTTTGTATCTAAGCAAAGAGGTAATTATGATCATATCAAAGATATCCCTTTATCTCTTAAAGAAAATGCCGTCATTAGGTAAAATATCAATAGAATCATATCATGGGTTAACATTGAGTTGTAATTATAAAGTCAGATATGCTTCCAAGTAATTAATGCGTATATAATATTGTTGTTATTTTCGTGGTATACTCTTAAACATACTGGTAATATCAAACGGTACTTTTTCGGAAAATACCCAGATACAATATTTATATTATCATGACATTTACGATTATTGTTCCCGCTACTACAAAGCATTATGTGATTCCGCTAGCTATTAAGAATGTTGCGATGCTATCTATTAATAGTTGTTGCATAATAATTGTGATTCGTAAAATGTAGGTGTCTTTTTTGAAGAAAATAAATGTGAATAGATGTGAATGATTTGTTGCAGTTTTATTCAAACCTAGTTATTGTCTCCCTTGTTGTCATTATGCAGACGCAAGTTTAATTAAATTATCAGTAAGAAAAAGGTAAATTTGATTGCATTTTATATTAATTGTAGTACAAATAGACCCGTATAAGTTTTCTCTTTTTGCTTAATGGCGGTGCCGTTTTTTACTTTGCCAGTTTTCCACTTAGTAATGGAAAGAAACTTATTCAATAAGTATTATGGGAGTACAACGCCAGCAAATACAAGCTGCCCCTGTCTATATTTAGTATAGACTAACATATCGACGCTTGAAACCAATCTTGTATCTCGAAAATATCACTTTTTTTTACATAATATTTGGAATTAAAAAAAAAATATATAAAGTAGTGATCGTGATGCTATGACGGTATTTATCATTCTACGATGTCGATAATTAACGAAACAAGAAAATGCTGTAAATACAACTTTACAAATTCTATTGCGAACAAGATTGCTTTACTAGAATTTATTTGGTCTGTGATTGCTTCTAGCGTATAAATGTAGACACACACACTTCCCAGTTATCACCTAAGTCTACTCTCAGCGCGTAATTTATGTGTTATCGGTGAAGTAAAATGAGATGATCTCTTTATGATGTTTAAAATTACATCAGCAATGATGTAATTTTAAATGTTTACAGAACGAAAAAGACGGATGTTTTGAATTTGATTTGGGTTTGTTTCAATCACAGACACAAAATGCCCTCAAAAAGTTTAGGAAAATAAAACGCAAAATCAAAATAATATCTGTATTTCAATTTGTTGACTGTAGTTAAACTTATTGCGTTTGATGGCACCACTGCATAGCTCAAAACTCTTCACTTAACTAGTGGTTTGTTCATTTAATTTTTCTGCAATACAACAAGAGTTTTTATAAATTGCATTCTCATTTAATGCCTGTATCATATAAGATAGCCATAATAGATACCTTTAAATAACTATCAAACCATTATAATATTATGAAATAAAAGAAATTGAATAAACAGAACGCGCTATTTTTAAGCAATTAAACACAAAATCATATTTTACATTCACTTATTAACAAATACTATAAAACTTATTTAGCAACAAATTTTGGACACACACTTGGTTAAAACAAATTAGTAACAAATTTAGAAACACTCTTGGTAAACCTTTATGATTAGTGATGCCTAGTGTATGTACCCTTATGCTTTATTTGTTATGTCTGTAGGTAATTACTTACCTTGGGACAGGGCGAGGTGTTTCTGATGTACTTGAAGAGCGACTCTGCCATATTACCAGGGGTAGGCGTATCGCACTTTTCTAGCTCCGTCACCATACATGAAGTCAGCTCGTCATATTTGTGGCACTGCGTCTGTGACACATTATATATTGCATTGAAGGGCCTAACTTTACATTATATGATTTCATATTAAAAGCGAACACTGCATATAAGTTAAACAATGTTCGATCTGGTACAATAACATTTGATTTCTTATCAGTAATAATAGTACAAATAACTGTAGGCGTGATTATATACATACCTAGAAAAGATACTTACGTCCAAACTCATAGCCTTAGCCTCTTCTACAGTGGAAACGGAGTCCTTCAATTTTTGTCCACAATCACGGAGTTCCGCTATCTTTGACTGCAAGCATGCTGGACCGCCCTCAGCGTAGAACACTGTAAATATTTTCAAATCGTAAACCATATTATATGAGTAACTTACCTGACTCACACAAACATTTGCAGCAACGTGTTAGACGTTGTCTATAACAGACTTAAAAGTTACGTTATGATCGTTAAATAGTGGCGCTCGTATTGAAATTGCAAATCAAAAAGAAAGTTGCCGAACTTATTATGTATAAGTACTAACGAGCAATCCTGTCGCCATCTTTGTAGCAGATAAACTCGAGTAGCTGCGAAGTGCCGTTTTTAATGTCTCCGATGTGACTGCGTATCGCGGAGTCCATACACGGCTTGACGCCTTCCAACATCGTGTACAAGCAGTTCTTCAGCTGAGGTGTTTTCTCGCAGTACCTGATGTGTAACGTAATTAATGACAACAAAAATTTTTGCTTACTAAAGTAATTACGCATTTTTTCAAAAACAAAAAACAAATTGCATTCAGCGAACTAGGCTAAATAATAATAACCTACGCGTCTCTGACTTTCCGGCTGACTGGATTATTGCCGGGGAATACCGCTTCTCCCGTATAAAAATTTTAAATTGATCTTTTAGACCATGGGACAAGCGAGAGTCTAAAATGGATAATAATAATAATTATTTATTTCAGATAATTGCAAATTCAGAATCCCATTGTAAAGCGACAACACTGTCGCTTTGAAACTGAACAGGTAATATTAATATAATATTTGAGATAATATCTATGGATAATAAATACTATGTTAGTTGTCATGTGCGACATTTTTTAGAGTTGTTTGTTATTTCCAGGACAAAGTTGTAAGTATTATTTTATTTCAGAGTTGCAATAGCGTTAAGTAATTTAGTTATTATTGCAATGTTTGTTCTGATCTGTGTACATCATCGTATATTGTATAATTTAAAATAATATTTTTTTATTGTATAATTTAAAAAGACAAGTAGATAATAAAGAACAACGCTAACTTACTTTTTAAAAACTTCGTCAAGTTCGCCATTCGGCATGGCTTTTTTGATCTCGTCGGTTATGGTTTCAATGTCAATCAATCCTTTCAAGCAATCGCCAAATGCCGTAATGGCTGCCTGTTGAAAATACAATTAGTACTCTATAAAAACAAATTTAATTTAAATCGGTAAGCTAATATCGTACCTCTAGCATAATAAAGGCCGTTAGCAAATGATTTTTCTTGAGAGAGATTCTGCGGTAGAAATTAGTCGATAACTTTTTAGGACAGATAAAATTTAATATACCTCTACATAATTTGAGATTAAAAAAGTTGAGCAGCAGTAGAGTTCGTTGTGAAAGAGTTCGTCCAGGGAAGTAAGTACTGCCAACTTACCTATTTCTGTAGCAATTACCAAGCTGTAATGTTAGCATACATACATTCAGGGTCACTTGACGATTCCACAAGCGATCGTTAATTTCACTTTAGTAGCAGTAGAGCTCCTTGTGAAAAAGTTCGTCCAGGGAAGTAAGTACTGCCATCTTACCTATTTCTGCCGCTAAGCAGTAATGTCAGCATTACAGTGTTCCGATTTTGAAAGGTAAGGGTGCTGGGGAAATACAGGCACATGTTTAGGACCTAAAGGACCCTCTGTACCTTGTCTTTCGCCTTATCATGGTTTGTTTCGGTGTTACTTTGAAGTACATTTTTAGCGCCCACTTACACGATTCGAAAGATTTCGCGCAGCCGCCGCGCGGCGACCGCCCCGTTACCACGCTTTCACGTACATTAATAGTGAATCTGAATTCTATTTACTAGGCAACAACATTTAAATTCCTCTGAATAATATAACCGCGCGGTCGCCACGTGGACCAAAGACAAGCCAGTCTCGCCCGCGCGTCCGGGATGCTTATTTAATTTAAAACGTAAAAAGCTAAAAAAAACATAAGAGCGTACTTTGCCATGACACTTCATGACAGTTAGATGCACGCGGTCGCTGTGCGGTGGCCTTAGACTATTTCCTTTATTTTTTTCCATCCTCTAAGGCGGTGGCAAACGCAGTCTCCGCACGGTGTGAGCGCAATGAAATTCGTGTTGAATAAATGCGTCCTTATAGTATTGTTTTTTTTTATAACTACAATTTTTAGAAGACAAACATTTGCGCGACTTTTACCTACTTATAATCCTCAAGAGTGGGGAATATGTGCTTTAACAACCAATAGCATTACGTTATTTTGCTGCACGCGCCGCTTAGTCGAAATTAAAATGTATTGGTTGTTGAAACTGAAATCTTCTCCGTTCGCCTTAATAATTGTGTGTGGTTTGATTATAATACATGCCTTAACGTCTTGTAAATGTTCTGAAGCGCCATTCTTAGTGCAGTAGTTGCTTAGCATGGTGTCGTACTGCGCTTGGTCGTTTGGTATCTGCACCTCGGCATAAGCACCTGCAAAATTGGATAATACACGGGATTGAACAAACGTAAAAATACTTTGTAACACATCATATGCCTAATATGTACACTAGCCGGGTCTTGGATAAAATATTGTAAATCCTTTGATATCGCTGTTTGTATCATAATCATCAACCCAATTTATATGTCCCAATGCTGAGCACAGGTCTCCTCTCAGGCGAGGGTTTAGGTCATAGTTCGCCATGCTGCCCAATGCGGGTTGGGTACTTCATACATTTTCCGAGTGTTCTTCATACATTTTGCAAGTTTCATCACGATGTTTTCCTTCACCGAACCGATCGCTGTTTGTATACTATCCTCCCGTTCACACGGCATTGCAATGCACGTTTTTTGCAGTATTCGATGTGCCTTTGTATGTGTGTGCGTTTTTTTTGCAGAACGAACACCGTGTGAACGGTTCTATATCTAATGTATGCGCCACTGTTATTTCATTTATTATACTGCAAAAACTGTACAGTGCCGTGTGAACGGGAGTTAGGAAAAAAATAGTAGGCACTCTTAAAAAGTAACCATAAAGTAAGAAATGAAACTATTTTTCCGGATTTAAATAGTGTATATTTGTTTTTTCAAACAAACCAACGTTTCGGGCCTTCACAAGTGCCTTGGTCACGGTTGGTACAGAGGGACCGAAACGTTGGTTTGTTTGAAAAAACAAATATAATAGGTACGCGATTTAAACCCGCAAAATAATTTCATTTCTTATGTGTAACAATCGCGAAAAGCTAAGAACTCGATAATCATAAACTAGTCTATTTGTAAGGTCATCGTCTTCAACCCATCATACGTCACACTACTGGGTATGGGTCTCCTCCTTCCTCCTTAGGCGAGGATTTACGTCATTATACGCTACGCTGACCTAATGCGAGTTGGAAACTTTGCTCGTTTTCCAACATTGTGAAGAAGAAAATATAGAGAAGTATTACTACTAAGCATTTAAAAATGTATGTAGAGTCAAGTGGGGTAACAGGAACATTGGGGGAAGAGGGTCTTCAAGCCTTAATTCATAACCTAAAGAGTTTAGCACTATAGTCTCTCAGTCGATAAAACAGACAAACAAAATTGTTTCAACGATTTTAAAGAGATGTCGCTACGATGCTCTAAATTCAAAAGACGGAAAAGACAAATTTGACAATTGCGAAATCTTGAGAATACGAGGTATTATTATAATTATTATTAGGGTGGCTTCATTCGGGGCCTATCTGGCCTCTCATCACTGCGACCATTGACTGATCTATTGTGACCCCTAATTACAGATCGGAGCCAAGGCTGACAGCATTAAATAGCTGAAGGAGTTTCGTGGTGTTGAGGCCTTATATTCTCTGCGTGTGGCAAGGCAAGTTTAGTGAATATCAAAATTGTTACAAGACCTATCTGTTCTGCCTTTAGCTCAAAACATTTGACTCTAAATAAAGTATACTCGCTTTACCCCACTATAATTTAGAAATAAAGCACATCATAAGCACATGCCGCAACAGAAAGAACAATGGCAAACTCCCATATACATTTTTGTTGCCACAATTTGTGTGCGTCTGTTTATGAAAAATATGTGAAAATATAGAGTTTAAATTCCTAAAATTTGGTTTACTATTTTGTGAAGTATGGAATTAAAGATATTCCTGTTTGAAGTTTTGGAGATTATGTTTTACATAAATTGAATACAATGTCTGTCGGTGTATCAAAATCACATCAAAATAAAATACAGAAATCATAAACAGAGTTAATAGAAGCTGAATGGTACCGTGGGTTTGTGACGTGATGAAAGTTCAGAGGAAATTATTTTTTATAATGTCATTTTATTTATAATTTTTTTGTGAGACGTGCCATCTACTATCCCCGATATCGGGAACTTTTTTGTCCGTTTTACCACTTTTTCGCCTGGCATATTTCGAGAAGGAATTATCTACTTTATTTTTTATAATAAAGTAATTAATGTTTTATTGCAAATCGGTCGAATCAGTACATTTGATATTACGTGAACTCACTAAATGTGGACATCTATACGTGCGTAGGTACTAAAAATCTTTTTTTGGCGGCTATGTCGCTCAACCAGAGAACAAAAAGTAAAGAGTACGGACACTCTCCGCCCCTCACTAGCGTTAGATACCGCACCACGCCCCACACATTGCCGGTCACATTGACTGAACGACAACATGGCTGCCGGCGAGCCGTTTTCGTGCGAAGACGGCTTTGATATTGGAATATAGTTTTCATTTATTCATTACGAAATTTGTACGTTAATATAAAATGAATTGTGCTGTTTACGGCTGTTTATCATCATTTTCCGAAAGATGAAACGAAGTAAGTAAAAAACTTATGTCTGAGACTCATTCAGTTAAGAATGGTTAAAAAGAATTAACTACAATGACACTGAAAATTTTATATCAGTTTTTAAGTAATATAAATATAATTAAGACGCCAGCTATTATAATTCAGATTTATGTATTATTGTAATTTATTGTTATTGAACAAAATATGTTGACTAACCGTTATGCTATAATCACCAATTTAGATACCTAAGACACAAGTAAACAATTTTACTTAGTTTAGGTATCACCTAGATTAATTTGCACTACTAACCTTAATTAAAATAATGTAAACATAAAATAATTTCATTGTTTGCGACAATTTGGCGCATATATGTAAATAATAGGTTATTTAATAAGATTTATGTATGTATTTAGGTTAATATTTTATACAGAAATAAATTTATCTTTATCTTTATCTTTATCTTTAGTTATTGTTTTCTTCATTTATTTACTGCAGAGTAATATAGGTATGTATAAGAAATACAGGTTTATTATATCAATATAATGAGGCGCCATGACTTCATAAGCTAGTAGACAAAGGTTCTCGAATTTTCAATTCATATTGCCATGACACGACTACCCATCCCATGACAGTGGCAGTGCTACTCAGAGCTTCAAATCGCAATGATCTGAGGGACACTGCCACTGCGTCTGTTACACTGAGACATAAGTTGTCAGGGCCCATCTGCCTATAATTTCACCAGCATCCTTACCCTTCAAAACCGAACGCAATAATGCGAGCAATACTGTTTGGTGGCAGAAATAGGTAGGGTGGCAGTAGCTACTACTAAAAATGTACAATATACTCTTATTACTTATATACCGTAGTTAGACACTGAAGTAAATAATGATAGTTGTTACTAAACAGATACCTAGATGTTTGTTACCTAAACACAGAGTTAAGAACATCGTATAAACTGTTTATCAAATAACAATTCTCGTAACCTTTAAGCAAATCAACATATCCATTAAAATTTTCCATTGCCGATATTGATGAGTATAATTGGGAACGACAAATAAAGACATATTAACCCTTGTCTAAGTAGTAAATGGCGGATTGTTGCATTTTGCATTTTTATTTTAACAAAAATTTTATTAATTCCGCTTTTATTATAAAAAAACGTTTATTACACTTCTTTTTAGGTACAATGTTTTTGACTTATTTCATAATTTAAAATTACGTTTTTAGTGCATTCCATTGCATTGTTGCTGTCATGATGTCTATTGTTTATTTATTTATTACCATTTAGAATAAACCATTGGTTGACGTTCAATAACCCTTTAACATTCAAACTCCTCATACAGATGATTTAACTGATTGTAAATTTTGTCGTTCGTCAGCCGGAATGATAGAGCGGTTGAAGCCACATCATAAGTACTTTTATTATATGAAAGTCATAAAAATAATACGAACTAGGTACATAAAGCAAATTATGTACACGATACATTTTATAACTTCTATTTAAGCAAAAAAGTTATCGACTAGTTTCTATCCGATTCCGGTCCGGTTCAATGACTCAAATGAGAACATAAAACAATACCTATTAAGCGTTTTTGGTACTAAATAGATACATCATGCAGCGTGTAGGTTACGCGCCAGTAAAAAACTTCAAAACATTGTACAATATACTTTATATGAGAGTAATAAAGTACAGCTAATCTTTCAGATGAACGATAATACAGTTGGCTTAATTGATTCAGATTCAGATTCAGATTCAGATTCATTTATTTCTCAAATATAACATTACAGTATAAATTGCACTACATGTCAAAGTATAAGAAATTATATTGAGATCGTCAGACAAAAAGGAAAATTATGAGAAAAGCGCACAATAATTAGAAAATTAACAATTCATTATATAATATTGTTGTCATTAAATTATATATCAAATATCATTCTCCATCAAGGATCGTCATAAGTTGATAACAATTATACAAGAGTATGTTAATGCGGTAAAAATTACAATAAAAATATAGAAAATACTGAATTCGTTACAATTTAAAGTCCATAAATTCTTGAATCTTGAAATTATTGAAAATACTATTATGGTATAAAAAAGGTTAACATGGGCTTGGGCCCAAACATGTAGGCTATGTTAAATTTCATCTAGTCTTATGTGTTTAGGTATATACTAGGGTATATAAAACCCTGAATTTTGTGTGGTTAATATTAACAACTTTTAATAAAAAGTATAATATACCTAATGTATACACCTTGGTGCGTGTAAAAGTGATACCGAGATACTAAGGAGCATTCATGGTGAACACTAAATCAAGCAAGAGCACTTTACACCTTAGGATCATAATAATAGTCATGAATAGAAATATAATACTAAGAAAGAAACGATACCACCCCAGTTCGAATTCAAATTTTTCCCGTACTGAATCGGTTCTATAGCTCTGGTCGAGCGGCAGAGACACTGGTTTTATTTCAAAATTTATTTTTTTACAAACGAAATTAATACCATTTGAAAAATGTATATCGTATAGTGTACGTGTTCTATTTAGTTCAGTTGATATTTAAAAAAATCATTGGTATATAATATAAAGTACCTATCGAAAACAGCGGTTTTCTCGTAAAATTTCGAGGTTAGTTTACGTTTGTTTTCTATCGTGAAAATTTTTAGGAATCGTGTTTTCACACCGTATACTAATCATCCTCTATTATATCTCTCTAGTATATTGTCAATTTTACTATATATTTTTTTCAAACTGATTGATTGAGCCATTTGAGTTTGCATCGACTCTTAAACAAATCAAGTATCACACTTGAAATGGATAAATGATTATGACCCATTCGTAAGACAGATTGCCCTGAGTATGTATATAAAGAGTTATGTAGTCGAAGATCATTATATGAATTGAGCTGACAATGTAAATTGGTAAATAGCCGGTGCACAGGAAGAGGGGTATGCATTGAGGGCTTCGAGTTGTGATGGACAAGAAGTTGTTGAACCTTTATACACTACTTTTAATACATGGTACACGAAATCTACAAATAGATCATGATAATTCGTACAGTAAATTTGTTGATTAACAAAATGACGCAGATTAAAGATATAAATGGTTAACTTACATATGATACAAGCATTACAGTGTACGCCACTGACACGATAAGAAGAAGAACACACGTATTAAAATTAATGACTATGATAATCACAGAGATAGTTTGCATTTAAAAAAAGCCATATGTAAAATGATTATTAGAGTCAGACATATCTGTTTATGATTAACTGCGACTTCATATGCACAGAATAAGTACTAGGAGTACCCTATAGTTTTATATAAATTTTCATAGCTTTATTGGTTCATGATACCAACTTTCAGCTCCTATTTCACCATGTTTAAGATTTAGTTTTGCGACAAAAAGTAGCCTACGTCCTTTTGCTAGGTCATATCTCTATATCAAAACTCGTCAATATTTGTTCAACAGTTTAGGTGAAAGACAGAGTTACTATCGCATTTATATTATTAGTACCTAATTAATACTGAAGTATCGTCGCTTAAAGCAATACAAGAAGTATCATTTTAAAATTCAAAAACGAGAGACTGTAAAGACTGGAACTTGGTACAATGCTCATCAATATTTACGATTAGATACAACGATTAGAAAACTATAATATACTAACATCTGATTGGAAGGAACCTCTATTTTCACGTAAATGTAGTATGTAATTTTTCCGAGTTGCATCTTTACATAAAAACATCGTCTTAAAATAACAAAAACTTCTTAGCGAAACTACCATTAAAGTAACCCGATAAGTAACTGAACTTCTCGGCATTCAAAAGACAATGTTACATACCAACTGCCAATAGTGCGATGAACAATGTCTTCCAAATCATTTTGCAGTTTTAACAATCGTTTGAGACGGACTCGTTGTTCCAGGGTCGTACGGCCAACTGAAGTTCTCCAATCTTTAAGTCACATTATATAGAGTCGCGTCGAATATCTGTTTGTACGGTGCCGACCCGTCAGAGATGAGTATTCTGGAAGCGATAGATGAAAAGTTAAATAGCTGCGCTTGTTGTAGCTGTGTGTGTTGATTTTTTTTTTCACATCCAGTTAATTTTATAAGCTCCCTCTGAGTCCATTTTTATTAACATGGCATTCAGCAAAGTACTTAACGCCTGAATCTTTTGATTATATGGAAATTTGTTCAGTTTGATTGTGTCAGTGCCGCGTCAAGAATGTGAAAATCAAAATACTGGATTTCATATGCAATACAACAAAAGAAATCAAATATTAAATATATAAAAATAAACTGGTTTAATGGGTTTATTGTCACCCAGCTTTAGAGGACCACGCATAGTGTGCATAGCCATCACTGATATTCTGTCATGACTCGTAAGGGTTAAGAACACACTAAACATAAATAGAACACACACACCTAAAAGACAATACACAGACACACACACCAGCACATTAGCGGAAGTTAGTGAGAATAAAAAAATTGTCGATTTTAATTTTTTTCATTAATTGGTTTTAATTTCCTTATAACACAAGTTTGCCGACCGGTTCGCGATTTATTTTGATTTTTCGTAAATTTCGTAAAGTTTAATTAAAAAGGCTGAAACAATTCTTAAATTTTCAACCGTTTCTGTTTTGTCACAAAACCAAAAAAAAAAATCAATCAATTTAATCTCGATTTTTATGAAAAAAGGTTAAGGCTGTACCAGGCTATACTAAGTCAATGTTAAACGATTCTAAGTTAATTGCACCTTTGTATAAAATTCTTATTTATTTAAATATATTAGTGCATATGGACGTTAATAATTTATAATCTTTTTTTTGTACCGCTAAATGTAGAGATGTGTATGTAATTTTATTGAATAGGTACCTAAATACAAAATGGTACATGATTTCGTGGTGTAATTTGTAGCTTATTGTTTTTACGTTGAATAGGTAACTGAAATAGTTTTTTGTACTCATACGACGTTCAGGATTACAAGTTTAATGAAAATTATAAAGTATTAATCAATACTTCTTTTTGTTTTGAATTTGTAAATTTGTGTAAATTTGAAACAAATTGTAATAAATGCATTTTTAACTTCGAATGGTATAGAGAATAGCCCCTCAGTGAAGTAGTGGTTTGACGATCGCTTTGTGGAATCGTCAAGTGACCCCGAACGTATTCTTCGTGATAACCAGAGCTAGGGGTTATCGCTACTTTAAGAAACTACTAAATAACAATATGAAGAAATGACAAGGATATGATGTTCTTTTATTTCTAGGAAATATTTCTCATAATTAAGCTGATTAAGGTATTTGGCAAAAGTGTATAAAAAAATTATTACTGACATTCAAATTGGGATCAATTTTATTTTCAAATTGTACAATTTACGTTTAATTTATTAATCAGTGGAGGATGGAAAAAAGAAAATTACTCTCAGTCTCGGCTGTATGGCACATTAGTGCCTTTGCCTTTTCCAATGGAAAAAACAGTACCAAAAAAATCCATAGTCTTAGAAGATGGAAAAAAAATAAAGGAAGTCCAAGCTCTACCACGAGTTTACTGTGTTGTCGCTAGCGACCGCGTCAATTATTTTTTTTCTATCCTCTAAGGTCAATTACAATTCACAATTTTGTATGGCGGTCACAAGAAGAAACAACATTTATTGTATTGTATACAAACATTTTACGCGGTCGCTAGCGATAACTGTAACTGTAATCTTATGGTAAGATGCATAGATGTTAGAAAGAAACGGCGGTACTCGGTAATGAAATAACGACTGATCGTTTTGCTAAAAAGGGACAGAAAATCCCCACCAGAGAAAGACATCATCACTATATTTCATGTGTCAGTTAATATACTGAAAAACTAATTTAAGATTCACTTCCACTGAGTACACGTGGACTAAGAATCGAAATCTCACTACAGAGTACTGAAAAAACCGACCTCAAAAATTCGTGCAGTTACATCTATTTGCCAAGTTTTATTGAAATCGGTTACCGGAAAGTGTACGAAACCGGATTCATCAGTGGATGAAAAAAATTAGGGAGTTTGCCACTCTTAGAGGTGGAATATTTTCTTCAAATTCAAATAAATTACTTAAAAGGTATATTAAGTAGGTATCAGTTGATAATTTGAAGTCTATTGTGGGATTCATTAATGCATTTTCATTATATGCGTAGTAGACATAAGCAGAGCTCCTTGTGAAAGAGTTCGTCCAGGGAAGTACTGCCACCTTACCGATTTCTGCCGCCAAACAGTAATGTCAACATTACTGTTTTTCGTTTGGAAAGGGTGCTGGTGAAATTACATGCACATGGGACTTGTCAACTTATGTCTCAGGGTGACGGGCGCATTGACAGTATCTCTCAGATGTTTTACATTTAAAGCTCTAAGTGGCACTGCAACTGTTAAGGACAGGCGTGTAGTTTACCATCAGGCGCACGATTTGTTCGTCCCGTCCCTTGATATTATAAAAAAATTGATGTGAAGAATGTAAAGCACCAACTACTAAAGTATATATATTTTTTAATTCATTGCTATATATCCATTTCAATTGAAGTTCACATAAGGTCTCTAGGTGAACAACAACTTGTATGTTTATAGTGTAATAGATATAAACGCAGTGGGCAGGACACCATGTTACTCATTCTAAGTCGCTTATATAATTTACAATAAATTAATGTCAAGTAATTAGCTAATGAAGTGATAAGAATTTTGCCTCTTTAACTCTGGGGTTAAGAAGGCAAAATGCGGAACATTCATAAATTAGATTAAATAAATGTACCTATTACTTTTTGACCACCTCATTGCCCTTTAAATAATCCACTTCGGATAAAGATAGTTTTGCCTTTTTTGTTTTGATATTTATTTATTTTGGTTCAGTGTACTTATTAGATAAAATAGGAGCATGATATTTTTAGTCCTCGTGCTCCTATCAGTAGGAGCACCCAGTAGGAGCATGAGGAAACGGCCGACATCACATCTTTTTTGTTACAAAGAACAATGTTTAGGAAAGCACTTTAGTTCTAGATATAATCAATGGGAAAAAGCAATTTATGCAAAAGGCAATGTTGATCAAGCAAACAGAGAAGCTCGTGGACTAGCTTTTGTTTGGTGAGAATACATAAATAAATCCGGTTATTATAAGAATTTCAAATTTTTGCTGTGTTTAATTGGCTTAGGACAGTGCACAATATATAAGTACTATATATAGACAAGTAAATACATAGAACAGACACTTATAGATATAGCGAAGTAAAATATATGTGCTAAATGAATAGAGATAATTAATTAATTAAAGTATTCAAATTTAGCTTTGTAATTTAAATTATTTATAATTAGGTGCAAAATGGTTATATTTTTTTATTATAATTTTTTACATCATTAAATTATAAAGATTAGATAGTTTTAAATAGACAACGATGTGTATAGTTGCCTAGATTATGAAACAGGTCCAATATTAAAAAGATCGTGATCAGGCTGAAAAAAATGCTGAGCGACTTCTGCCGTTTGGTGAATGCTGAGACCGTCCCCTCCACACATTTTTTTTAAGTTTCGAAATGGTCTTGTTTATTTTATTTTTGTAATTAATATGTGTGGTGCAGGCAACGATTTTTAGACTAGCTAAATTATCTCCTTAACGTGTTCACTAAATTAAATATACCTACGTCCATATCTTGGCTTTACTGTTTTTATGAAAAACTCGTTTAAAAATCATTAAAATATTAATTTAGCGATAGCTTTAATTAATAATAACAATAATAACGCACACACTCAACATAGCCCCGCACTAGGGAAACCCTGTGTCGCGGGTGCCATGGACACACACACATAGACAACCACAAATTACACCCAAACTCACGAGAGAAATAAATGTAGGCCATACAAATATTTCTCCCGGCCCGGGAATCGAACCGGGGACCTCTGCGTGGCAGTCCGGTATGGTAACCGTTCGACCACGGAGGCAGTAAAATTGGCATTACCATGACATGATAAGTAATTATTTATTTAGTAGCAGTAGAGCTCCTTGTGAAAGAGTTCGTCCAGGGTAATACTGCCACCTATTTCTGCCGCCAAACAGTAATATGAGCATTACTGCGTTCCGGTTTGGAAGGGTAATGGTGCTGGTGAAATCACAAGCACATGGGACTTGTTAACTTATGCCTCAAGGTGACGGGCGCAGTGGCAGTGCCCCCAAGATCTTACGATTTAAAGCTCTAAGTGGCACTGCAACTGTTATGGACAGGCGTGTCGTTTACTACCAGGCACACGACTAGTTCGTCTCGTCACTTGGTATTAAAAAAAAAAAAAGTTGTCGAGGTATAAATTTGAATTTTTGAATAATTTGCCCTTAAGTAGATAGCAATAGTGTCTAATTCAGAAGTATGTAATTTCAGATATGCCTAATTCAGATAACGTTTCGTTTTATAATTTACACTTGCAATTTCTACGAAATAATTAAACTAATATTATAAATGCGAAAATAACTCTGTCTGTTACGTTATCTCGCCTAAAGCCGGAGTTATCGCGTAACATACATAAAAAAAAACATGCAGTCGAATTGAGAACATCCTCCTTTTTTGAAGTCAGTTAAAAATTGGTAAAAATGTCGCTAAAACCAAAAACAAAGAATAGCAACATTTGTATAATATGGCAAAATTTGTTTATATTTAAACTCAAATCTTTACACCACGACCACATTTTATCAAGATCAGCTTGAAGGAGTTCACAGTTATTGGGAGTGGCCTTTATACATATACAGATAATTTCGATGCTGGCAAAGTAGAGTTACCTACTCACAGACTTCAAATTAATAATTTGATTATTAACACAATCAAATTAGTTGCACGAAAGAAGCCTCCCTGCACGACGTATCTTTACTTTCCTGTACGTCTAGTGTATCCTAAGCAACAATCGGCGAATACCTTACTCTATTGGCAAATCTTTCACCACGATCGCAAGCATAACAGTATTTGTCATC